ATCGGCATGCATCACCGGCCTCACCTTCGCTGGACACAGGCGCCTGTACCTGTGCCTGAGCCTGTACCTGTTTCCTCCTCAGTAATGCCAACTGCTGTCGTTCTGACCGGGGACAAAAGCTGCAGCGGGAAGCAGTGGTCAAACGCTGTCTTTTTGGACGATGGCGACTTTTCCACCAGTTATCACTTTGACTGCCTAAAAGCGTACACCTGAGTCATACTCGATCGGTACTCGGCCTTCACCTCACTGCCGACCTCATGAGCGATTCTGCGACCCATCACGTGGTTTCGACGGTCCTACCTACCTGATCGATCACCGACCGACTGACCGACCGATCGAATAAAACGTCACACAGAAAAACGTTACGTCAACGGCAAACGCGAAAATCAATCTTACTATGACACGCTAAACCATCGTCGTGGAAATGCCTACCGTCTACCACTGCAGATGCGGTGCCATCAACCGTTACGTAACCGATCGCTTCTTTTACGTCAGCCGTAGACTGCGAACCTCTGTGACTCGATCTTCTTCGCTTTTTGACTTCGCTTGTAATTGGAACTTCAGTTTTTTCCACGCTCTCACCTTTTACGCCGTCCTGAAATGCTCCAGCATGCTACAGCCCTACCACGGACAGTGTTGCCTACATCAGTCGCTTTCAAATTCGATGTTTGTTCAGATTCATTCACTTTATTGACAGCGAAAGCCATGCCCACTGTCTTCGCCCATTTTTAAGCTATCTAAAGTTTGCAAACCTTACACGTACTGATTATATACGTAAAGTTTAGACCCAGATGATGTACTGTCGTATCACTATGGTTAACATCTGTTATCCTGACTATTTTGATACTGTACGGAGGCAATTACTTAATCGCTACCTGCCCTACAAAAGCTGGATCCCCAAGTTACCCACATCGCAAACCTCAAGGCTGTTGACTCTGCCTCGTACTGTTTCGATAATATCAGGCAGCTTGATCAATTAATCGCCTATGATCATAATTTAGATTTTATACTAATAGAAATAACATTTTTTTCAATCCACAATTTGTCGCAACATTGTAATCAGCATCTACAACGATCTATATTCGGAGTCAGCATCATCTATTATTCTGACGAATCTTTAGTCAATTTTCGGTCAAGAAATTCAATTTTTATGTCGGTAATGCTTTGTTCTATATAGCGTCACTGACTTGGCAATACGATTCTGGATACCGCATTTTCCGGTTCAGGTATGGGTTCGAGCTGATGAAGAAGATCTGAACTCAAAGCAACGCTGATTTTTTACCCCATTGAAGTTACACAGAAAATCGACTACAGCAGTTTTGCTCAAAATTGTGTCTATGGTTTCACTGTTTATGCCTGCATGTTCTCACTGCTATTTATTAATTAATTTAAAGTCCTTTATTTTGACTGAAGAACAAAAGCTTTCTTGCTTTTGCTCAGGTAGTAAGCTTCAACTCTTTGAATTTCATAAATTTTGGCAGTCATTTTACTGTTCATGGATCGCTGTAAGTGCAGTCGAAAAGCACGATTTCTAATACACGAAATCTATGGTATTCATCGTCATCACATATACTAACTTGTTATACGATAGATGATGTTACCTTGACTATGAGCAACTGACGCAAATCAGCTAATGAACTTCAAAAAACTACAAACGAAAAGACAAAATTAGATCAACTGATGAATTCTAAACATTGATCTTCAAAATTTTAATGATTGTCGGAGCTGAATTGAACGGGCAATGAGTGCATCGTTCAGTCTAGGGTAGGTCGGTGCAAACTGAGCAGATTTATGTTTCGATTTAAATCATGATTTGGCGATATTCTTATGTAAAATTTTATTGCTATTACATGTTCAGTGAAGGGTGTAGGCTGATTTTCAGAAAGAATCTGAAGCTTTGCGTATTATATCAAGAAACGTTACTAGAACGGTGCAAGATATAACTGATCTTTAGAAGATCCATGTTAAGGCATGAAACATGCGGCCAAGCAGATGTAATTAAAACTGAATAATTGTTTTCTGTAAGATTGCCCATAGAGTAAATGCTGCCAAATTTGTGTGTATGTCGCGTTCTACCGAATTATATCACGGAAATTGCATGTCGCACTGGAATTGCTCAAATGATGTAAAGATATAGCTAAGGCATGTTTGAATGTCACCCACTTCTCATATCAAGGCAAAAAAGCAAACGGACGGTGCAGTATGCAACCTAACTTATGAAATCTAACAATGGCTAGATTGTCTACCATTGGTTTTTGTCACACATCGAAACAACCTTTAGACTTGTCAACTTTCTTAGAAGCTTCAGAGTGTATACATTAAAATAGTCAGCTAGAACAAAAAATGGCAATGAATAAATTTTGTTGTAACAGAAATTGGAGAATTTCAGCCAGTTAAAGCGAACTTGAGGTATTCTATCCTAATGAAATGTCAATTACTACGATATCTTTCAGACCGTTGCTACTTGAGAATCTTTATTTTACTGTTTCTTGATGCATGCATGCTTCGAACGGAAAACATGCCATCGGGGGAGGTCAAAAGTCGAGGTGTAACTTCATGTTTGCAATGCGTTGGTGGCGGTAATTGGTATCTTCGGTACAGAACGATGGTGATATAAATGTATAAATATTCGCAACTTCCGCCAGGTTTGCGAAATCTCAATCGTGCAAGCGGCGCGATTTATGGATGTTCTTTCCTCCGTTTCTCGATACCATGGATCCATCGTCATCCCTGCCTTTAGTCCTTCTCGCAGATGAGTCGTGGTTTTTTGTCCTGAAGGTCTAACAATCCGATGAAAATATTCGAAATTTGCTACGAACTGCGACTCAATATTTTGGAGTTATTATTCACAAGGTAAAAATCTGTGGGTCAGTTTGTCAGTACTGTGGCACCGAGAAATCGACTTAAAAGATGGTTAGTGATCCGTTTGCACTAAGCTTACCTGGCAAGGATATGGCTGCCGCAGATGCCCGCGACCAGTCGTAGGTGAATGAGTAGTGCAGCGTACCATCGGCACCATGTTCTTCGCTGCTCCATTGTGGTAGAGTACATACGGTTACTCAATGAACTCAGAGGAAAAGCCATGGTTTTTTTGTTTGGCTCATCAGTTTGTGATGTCTGCTGTCTTTTATCATATGCAGTTGTTTGGTCAATCAATCAGTCATTCTTACTGATTTTAACGCTGCCATAAATTATAAGGTTGTTTCCGCGTTATCAAACAGTTCATTTTTAAGTATGTCCCGATCTAATAAATAGCTTGTTAAAACACGATGCTGTTGTTAGCCAATTGTGTCTCTTACCGGTCAGTCACATTCAGATCTACTCTACAAAATACCGGAGTAGTTCGCTAGGGTTCCGTTTTAGATCATCTGGTTTCCACAGTATGCACCAGCTCATAGATCTGTCTATTTTATTCATGACAGTTTTCACTAGATTCTTTTTGTAACGCGTGTGTCTTTTAGCCGTGTTGCTGAAAAATCGGTTTTCCAACGATAATTTCAATACAGCAGTAATAACAGTCTACCTTCTTGCGTGACATATTTGCTGCACTTACATCTCATAGGCATACTGCACTTTTGACATTAAGGAGCTACGTTCATCTCTGAAACAAATCTTTAGCGTAAGTAGTACCTTTCGCATGATGAACTACTTACGTTGTCAAGACGCAAAAGAAAGCTTCACCAAGAAGATCCTTGATGATCCGTCCCATGGTCTTACGCCCTAACAGCTAGCTGTTAAGTCTAAGGTGAAGGTGAGGCGATGTGCAACCGGCTTTTCTCGATGTACGCCAGAACTGAAAAGTTCCACTTCTCAGTTAGGCTTCACCTCATCCAAGTTTCGAGGGAACCAGAGATATTCAGGAACTCAGTTTGGCGAAATCTCCTGAATGTATTTTGTACAATAATGTTGTTTCATACATGATACTGTAATATTTCTTTAAACCTTTCGGATCTGTAGCTGAAAGGCAGGTAGATTTTATCTGTCATTCTAATAAAACTTGAACTTAGAAAAGAGTCGTATTGACGTTAAACAGATGCCGGAATTTCCATTGGCATGCTGGTTCGGTACTGGTTTCGTTGGCCATTCGTTTCTTCACCAATTGCGCAATTTTTCTTGTGGCATGTTCATTGATTGAATTTTTTTGTTTATTTCTCTTTTTGGAAAATAAACTTCTCTCGCGATCCCATTCATTCATCGAAAGACGTTAAGTTGTGAACTACAGATATAGGAAAGTAAAGAATAAACGAGTATCGTTCGAAGTACCGGAAATCAGGAGGAAATTTCATTAGTTGTTTTCGTTTGTGCACCCTCATCAGGCTATGTAGTTACGCTTAGCGACTAACGAAGATATTTAATGGTAACTGTTTTGTTTGTTTCAGTTTGCATGTCTGAGTTTAGTATTTAGTCAGCGGATGTTCGAAAGTTCCGACAATTCTAAGAAACTGAGAAGCTTCCATGCGCCGCCTCCTTCATGCCCTTGACGATTGTTTCTTTTCCCGGAAAAACTTGCACCTTAATTCCAGTTGCCCAGGGGTTCTTCGATGCTGCTATCTGAATTCGGAAATATCTTCAAGCATGGGAATATCAGTGAATCTGTGAAATTTGCTGGCAGCATTCAGCCTCGAGCCTAAAAATTCATATATCTTGGTTCCATCCTTCAAGACAGTGGACAAATCGACACTGAATTAAGAAATCGGTAGAAAAAGCGTGACTCAAATGGAGAGAGGAAAACTCACATACTAAGTTATAATAGAATGTTGGAATAGGTAAAGAGAAACCTGCACTAAACAGTAGTGATATCGGTACTTCTGTGTGGCTACCCTGAATAGAGAGGAGTAACACCTGAACTCCGTAGAGATGCGAATACTCAGGTGGATGGGTGGCGCACATCGAAGGACTACATCCGAAATACCTTTATAAAAGCACTTTAGGTGTAGCTCCAGTTTCGGTAAAACTGATAGAAAACAGTTCGGATCGTTCAGCCATGTAAAAATGAGGTCCGACGGTTCCACTGGAAATGTGTTCCGGGCTAGGAAAGAAAAGTACGCGATGTCGTAAATAACGATGTGCGACAAACGACCGAAGATTTCAGCCATGTCCGAAAAATATGGGTTCATTTTGCTTTAACAGCTGATCCCTTTTATGGGGATGAATCTGGGATAAGGGAGGCAAGGCAAAAACGACAGAAAAGTTTTAATTAATCAAGCTTATTAGCTTAAGCATTTGTTGTGGTTGACTACTGAAATTCGACGCAGGACGAATTGAAACTGCATGAGGG